TGTCATACCTTTTTCTTAACAGTTTGTTAAACACGTCTTTATTATCTCACTCACAGCATGCAGTGAAATGTCTTTGTAGCTTAGTAGTTGCTCATTTAAATACCTGTTTAATAATCGAGCAAACGAATGTTATGGTCCTGGAGAGCACAAGAACTGGGGAGTTCTCTGTGTGTAGAAAGGTGGTGATGTGTACAGTGTTCTCCTTTAGTGACCTCTCATGCCAGGTTCTCGCACCTTAGCAAGGTGGAGTAATCCAGGAAAACTTGTTAAGATTCTGATTCTGTGGCTGTTTGGAATTCTCAAGCATGTGTGGTGAAACCCAACAACCAACATTTTTCTAAGAATCTTTGTATTTCTCTGCACATAGTCGGTGATTCTCTCTTGGAGATACATTGTCCTGAGTCATTTGTACACTCCTACAGTGCTGAAAGGAGAGAGCTTACAGATTGAGTTTAGCTATTTTGGGAGCATGTCTAATATATGTATAATACAAAGTGAAAATAATCAACCTTGAGGCGTCCATATCTTCTTTGTGTAGACATGGCACACAATTAATGTTCCTCATAGTAATACAGGGATATCATTCAAAGAATGCCTGTTAAGTCTTGTCAGGGAAGAGGACCCTATATTTAATTAAGATTTTTTGTGAATTCTTCACACACAAAAAATCATGTTTATAGATATTTGTCCAATTTAAGAGCTTTAAGAACCCTAAGGCCCCAAGTTTGAGAAACATTGCACTAGGATTAAATTCTACAATTACATAAGCCAGCTTATAAACATAAATGTGAGCGCTGAAGTTATATGATTATTAAGATTTTATATTATCATAAACATTTAAAAGCACATTTTAAAACATATGCAGAAAATTCACAGCAAAGAATAGATTGATTAATTTCTATTGGAGAAGCAGTGGTATAAAACATTAAATCCTTGAGAAGCTTGAGAATGCTTGAAAAATTCTTGTTCCCAACATGTAATTTTCTGATAGTGCTGACTAATCGATTTTTTAGAATTCAGGTAACCATTGATGTCAACAACTATTGAGTAACAGCATTGAACACCTGTTATGGTTTAGGCCACTGAAGTTTCAGTAGTAAATAGGGCAGTGATGGCCTAGGAATGGGGAAGAAAGGGCGGGCGGTGGGATGCTGTGGATCAGGAGAAGCTTCTTTTAAGGGATTGTTTTTAAAGATCTGAAGGATGAGTACCTGTTAGCTAAGTTGAGAGGTAGGGTTAAGAAAATGCAATGCACCTGGACGTGGAGATGCAGGGAGAGGATAGAAATGTAATTTCAAGTTCGTGTGGCAACTTTGTCTTAATGTTGCTTCATAACTGGTTTCACCTGTTTCACCTGGAGACTAAGGGAAACATTTACCTTCCTTGGAACAAGAAGCTTTCTCAAGAAGTATTAAGGGTTCTAATGTATTTTTGTTTCATTAGATGAGCCAGTACTGATAGCATATTTATGATTAGACTGTCAGACAACATCCATGAAGAGATTTCAGGCTGTTAAAAATGCTTGGGCTTTATTTGTTGGGTTTTCTTTAAGGGCTTACATGTAATTTTGTGAATTATTGAAAAGAAACTTAAAAACAGCAAGTGTGCAGTTTAACATGAAATGGGCAAAATTGCTTTGTTTCTCTAAAGTGCTTTTTTTAAGAATTTCAATGCTTAAACTTTTAAAATCAAACAATAGAAACTCCAACATTTCAGAGCTAATGTAAACAAAAACTGTTATATCCTAAATAGCAGCATAATCAAGTAACCTTGAAACATTGGTGTTGGCCCTGTATTGTTTTCTGTTTGAATTGAGTGGCAGTTTCCAGCATTATATAACATTGATGTGATTCACTGATGTTTCCAGTAAGGGAATTTTGCAAGTATAATATGTTTTAGTATTAGGTTCTACTTGTGCATTTAGCAATTAAAATTATTCTTGTAATGATGATGGCATTAGAAGGGATTGGGAACTGTCAAAGAGAATTGGAAGGTTAATTATCTCTTTGGTAACGAAATGCATAATCTTCCATTACGATGCTTATTTTCTTATGGTAATTGACTCATTTGCTCTCTGGTTATCAATTTAACTTCCCAACCACAAACATCTGCTCTTACATTGTGTTTAATTGGGGTGAATTCTATCTACGAAGAAGTTAAGATCCAGAGAACATTTTAAAGGTATTATTTTATGATTCATGAGAGGGGAAAGTAAATGATGAATGAAACATTGTTTCTGATGACTTTTTCTATTAGTCTTTGAAAGTCTGCTTACTAAAAATTCATACTAAAATTATATTAATTGGATTTTCTTTTGAAGAGAATATTGCTATTTTACAGAATTATGTACTCTGCCTTAAGGGGAGTCTCAGTCCTTTAGACTTAAGGAATATGTCAATTCCTCAGAAACAAGGTACCATAGGGGTTAAGATTGAAGGCTTCAAAGGTAGAAAAAATCATTTCGTGTGTAATTATTTAATCCAAAGAAGAGGGATGGGTACAAATTGAATGTGACTATTTGCTTATAATTTTTTAAGTGGAAGGGTAAATCATTTTTAAAGATGTTAATGGTTACCTATAGGTAAAGAGAGGGAAAGGGTAGAGAAAACAGAGTGGAAGCAAGACCTGTTGGACTATACCTTTTTTTTTTATATTTAAAATTGCCAGAAAGGAGAAGCAAAATGAAAATGACTCTAAATGTGTAACTACTTGATAGTATAGCCACACAGAAAGTTAAAATTCCAAATGAAAGTAACTACTTCAAATAAATGTAACATAGTAATTGGACAGTAAACACCTAGTAGAATAGTCACAAGGACAAAACTCCAAAAATCCTCAACTTTTTTCTCTTGGTGGAAATGTTGGTCTACTGAGTCTACTGGGTGTAAGATAAAGCATATAAGGAATTAAGTTGGCATCACTGAGAACAGAAATTTTTTGCATGAGAGAAAGGAAATAGAGGTGAAAAATGAATAGGTTCCAGTTAAAACCTATAGTCCCAAACTTGATTGGAGATACTAAAATGAAATAATAATTTTATATTTAAAAAGTACAGATTTCCTGACTTTATCCTCAAATCGGGCCCAAAATCAGTGACCAGAAGATACTAAAGACCACTCAGGTCATGTCAAAAAGGACTCAGGAAATTCCAGTGGATCTAGGCTTCTTTTAGTCAAAGATGGGGTAGTATGAAAATGAAAAGAGGGTTAACTTTAGTGGATTGAAACAAACCAAATATATTTTAATCCATGAACTCAAAAAAGCCTTCATTGATCACATCTGGGATGTGATATTAGAGAACCAGATCATTGTTTTGAAAACTGGTAAGCACAGAAAAAGAATCAAGCATTATCCTGTTCTTTCTATAAGAGTTATACTTAAGGGTAACCAAATAATTGATGAGGAGAATCATAGAAAGGAAGATTCGGCACTGTAAAGGTGTTAAGTTGGTGCAAATCCAGCCCAGTCTCATTGTAGAAGGAATGTTAGAATGAGTAGTGCTATTTTGCAACTCCTTTTGTGATTATCAAAGACTTTTAACATCACGAGAGACATAGTCACACATGAACCTCCTGATGGAAGAACAGGGCACTGCCTGTGAAGTGGTCTCTTTCAAAGAAGAGTGGATTTGGAACTGAGAGACCATGAATTGATAACTGACATTATGTGAAAAGCTCTTATGAATAGATAAGAAAACTGAATACTGTGACTGAAAAAATAGCAGAGTGTGTGTATAGATAATTCACAGAAGGATAAATACAGGTGACTAACCAATGTTTAGAGGTCAACCCTAAATATTCACTGAAACAACTGATGCTGAAGCTGAATTTTGGTCATCTGATGCAAACAATTGGTCATCTGATGTGAGAAGTTGGCTTAAAACTCAACATTCAAAAAACCAAGATCATGACATCCAGTCCCATCACTTCATGGCCAGTAGATGGGGAAACAATGGAAACAGTGACAGACTTTATTTTTTGGACTCCAAAATCACTGCAGATGGTGACTGCAGCCATGAAATTAAAAGACGCTTGCTCCTAGAAGAAAAGCTATGACCAACCTAGACAGCATGTTAAACTCAGAGACATTACTTTGCCAACAAAGGTCTGTCTAGTCAAAGCTGTGGTTTTTCCAGCAGTCACATGGATGTGAGAGTTGGACTATAATGAAAGCTGAATGCCAAAGAATTGATGCTTTTGAACTGTGGTATTGGAGAAGACTCTTGAGAGTTCTTTGGACTGCAAGGAGATCAAACCAGTCAATCGTAAAGGAAATCATTCCTGAATATTCATTGGAAGGACTGATGTTGAAGCTGAAACTCCAATACTTCGGCCACCTGATGTGAAAAACTGACTCCTTGGAAAAGACCCTGATGCTGGGAAAGATTGAGGGCAGGAGGAGAAGGGGATGACAGAGGATGAGATGGTTGGATGGCATTACCGACTCGATGGAAATGAGTTTGAGTAAGCTCTGGGAATTGTTGATGAACAGGGAGGCCTGGCGTACTGCAGTCCATGGGGTCGCAAAGAATTGGACATGACTGAGTGACTGAATTGAATGTGACATTTATATTTCTTTGAAGGGTGGGTTACTCATCAATCTGACTGAAAAGGAAGATAATGTCAGTCTTATCAACTCTTTTTGAATCATAATCATGGCTCTTCCAAAATGGTTTAAATCTTAGGGAAATAGACTTTCATATTCATTTTTAAAGACAGCTTAGAACTTTCCAATTTTTCAGTACCGTCAACTTAGTAAATATTTCTCAACAGAGAAACTCAGAATTATCATTATAATTATTCTGCCAGTTAAGTAGACCAGAATATCAGTTTTTAAAGATATGTTTTCTAACATATCTTTAAAAATATGTTACGTTTTCCTAAAAAAAGTGAGTCTCAAATAATTAAAAACTTTATGAATTCTGTGACTTTTTAATTGCTTGAAATATAAATAGCTATTTTTACTTTTATTCATATCTTAATTTCCTTTCTATTTTAAAGCCCAACCTGAATTCCTGAAGCAGCCTACCAATATATATGCTCATGAATCTATGGATATTGTGTTTGAATGTGAAGTCACTGGAAAGCCAACTCCCACCGTGAAGTGGGTCAAGAATGGGGATATGGTCATCCCAAGTGATTACTTTAAGATTGTAGTAAGTATCTTTCAAAGAAACTTAGCTCTGAAACCTTTAACTCTCTTTAAACGTAGTCACCAAGAGATCTGTTATCCATAGTACATGAACTGGTGTATTACGATGAAGATAGAAAAATTCACTTAGAATACTGTTATTTCATTGGCTGATGGGATAAAGCTCGCCCAGAAATGTTTTGGTAGCTCACATACGATCACAGAGGAAACCAGTGTTTGAACTCAGCCTGAAGTTCACATCCCCTGATCAATAGTCTAGTCCTCCTTCTCAGACATACTAGCATTTTAAAATATAGCCTGCACCACTTCCTGGGTAATGATCATCCTGTGTGTGTATTCACAAGTACCAGTTGTCTTCATAGCTCTGTAGTCAAGGAGCTGAAATCTGTCCTTGTTATACTGATGCTCAGGCCCTTCAAAATAAGTATACCCAATGTTGGACAGTTGTGAAAATAGACATAAAGATTCTTTTAAAAAGTAAAGCAAAAGTAATCAGTTAGCCTTAATCTATTAAGAAGACAGCCATGTCTGCTTTTTACTTAATAGATATATAGTAAATGCTGGTAAAGAATCCACCTGCAATGCGGGAGTCCTGGGTTCGATCCCTGGGTTGGGAAGATCCCTTGGAAAAGGGACCGGCTACCCACTCCAGTATTCTGGCCTGAGGAATTCCATGGACTGTATAGTTCTGGGATCACAAAAAGTCGGACACAACTGAGCGATTTTAACTTTCACTTTAGTAAATATTATCCACTGTTACTATTATTATTATCTAATATCCTTATAATAGAATTATCTAGGTTTTTAAAAAATGACATATCTTAAGATGCATGTATGACATTCATAGACATAATCAGAAGTAATTATAGTTGTTAAAGACAATGTCTAATTACAAATTCCTCACATAAGTAATTCATTCTTCATAGGAATACAGTTTCTATTTTTTAAAATGCATAATGTTATATGTTACAAAAAAGTAATTCACAAGTATTTAATCCTAATTAAAAAGCAGTATGTTACAGTTAACTTAGCATTTTACTTTTTATCATTATTTTCATCCTATTATAAAAAAATCTTAAACTTATGTTGTATTATATCAATAGCAATAATGATATTTGACATTCATATGCTACTTGATAGTTTAACAAAAACTTTTATATAGGGGGGCTTCTAATCTGTTATAACGATAGATATTAGAAATAATTTTAAGAAAGTACCTTGAATTCACAAATTCAGCCTTTCACTATGGTGACATAGTATTGCATGCCAGATATTCCACCAGGCAAAGGTTTAAGTTTGCATACATTGCAGATATGCCTTTCTATAAGGATTGAATTCTTAATTGTTGATGATAATGTTTCCTTTTCTAGTCAGTTAAGTCAGTACCTTGTCATTAAAACTGAGTCAACATGTTCATAGGTAAATAATATTCAGTATATGAATCATATAATTGTACTTGTGTTTTTCTCTCCAGAAAGAACATATCCTTGAGATCTGAACTAATGTTCATCAGTTGAATCATAAAATTTTGTTTTTTTCTTCCTCAGAAGGAACATAATCTTCAAGTTTTGGGTCTGGTGAAATCAGATGAAGGGTTCTATCAATGCATTGCTGAAAATGATGTTGGAAATGCACAAGCTGGAGCCCAGCTGATAATCCTTGAACATGGTAAGAGGGACTGAAATAGTAAGATGAGAGAGATTGACTGTGTGTGAGGAGCTCATACCTATCACAGGACCTATCACTCCAGGATACCTAGTGACTAATAAACTGTTTATAAAGGTAATATAGGGCATAACTACGAGAGAAAAAAATAGCCATCTAAATTATCTGTGTTGTTTTAAGCGACTGAGAAAATTTTGGATAATGTTGAAAAGAAATTGGTATTAAGAAAAGAAAAACTGAACATTTATAGTCTTACACAAATAAATGGATACTCTTCAGATTTAATCTTATTTAATCTTACAAATACATTTCTAATCTATTAAAGTAGAAAAACTTTAATGTTTATTTTGCAGTGAATTTTTCTTTAATTTTTCCAAAGTAAAAATTAACTTGCCTTTTCTGATTTTCACACACCCAAAAAATACTTATTAAAAATTCAGACAACATTGAGAAGTAAAAAGGGGAGAAAAAACTCATTTTGTATCAGTCAGGGTCAGTTCTAGGGAAACCGCAAAGTAATTTCACTTAAAACCAAATTTAAAAATTGAATATTGTTTAGTAAAAATCTATTAACTGTAACAGGGGATTGAAGTACCAAGGAATTGGCTAGTAAGAAGTAAAAAGAATTCTAATGAATATAAAAGAATGGCAGACATAAGGAGCAGCCACTGGAGAGGATGTGGCTATGGTTTAATGGGTGATGGAGAAGTCGCCATGCTGCCATCCCACAGAAGCTTGCTAAAAAAAAAGACTGCACCAGCAGATTTGGGGTACTGAAGGAAGCTACTCACCAGCACTCTGTACTGATAAGGTTTTAACACGTGTCAGGTGGCAAAAGGAGAAATATGTAAAGGGCTCAGCTTCATTTTTGCAGAGCGGGCAATAAAGTGTGAATGTGGAGCTTAAATAGTAAATTGATTACAGGCACATGCTTTAATCCCTGCCATCTAGGAGTACTGGGTATAGGCGTGCATAGATGTGTATATGGTTTTATAACCTGTTTTCTTGCAACAGCATGCTGTGGACATGTTTCCATATCATTGAATATAGATCTGCATAAACATTTTTCATTGTTGAATAGTATATATGCACTTTGTTTTATATAAATGATTCCCTATTGGTTAATATTTAAATTGTTTCCTGTTTGTTTTTTTTTTTTACGATGATGAAAGAGTCTGTGCTGAACTTCCTTATATGATTATATTCTCATACTAAATTATTAGAAGTTGAATTGTGAAATTGATGTGGATAACTTTTATGTGAAATTAATAAGGATAACTGTTGGGTATACTATTTGTTTTAGCAGGAGAAGTATTTTTCATTCTGTGCATTTCTCAAGAATGCATAAGGAAGAGCTGCTTTACACATCTGATTTGATGTTTGAGTCAAATTTAAGTTCAGGTTCCATTGTGATCAGGGAAGCTCATTGGCAAAGATGGCATCTACTCTGGCTTTTCACTAAAATAGCATATAGATTTTTATATACTGTTTTGAGATCGGGATGACAGAGGATAAGATGGTTGGATGGCATCACCAACTTGATAGACATGAGTTTGAGCAAGCTCCAGATAATATACATGTTTCGATAATAAGTGTTATTTTTCTAATTCAAATAAGGCAGCATACAGTTTAGGAGAGAGGAATTCTGTGTGAACAGGGAAGTTTTTCATGCAATGTGTTCCCTTTGTGGGGCTCTCTAGTGGCTCAGATGGAAGTAAAGCATCTGCCCGCAATGCAGGAGACCTGGGTTCATGATAGGACCAGATGTTAAAAAGAGGACCTGGCTCACTATAGAAACAGAATAGTTAGAGTATCTGTTCCTATAGAAAGGTGGCCTGTAAAGGCAGAACAGGATCAGATTAATCATGGCCTTCGTTATAAACAGTCAAAGCAATTCTGTAGTAAGGGAGTCTAATGACAAAGTCAGATTTAATTAGAAGACAGTGGCCGAAGAAATATTGTTATAAGACCATGAAGAAATAATAAGTACTTGTACTAGAGAAATAGAAAGAATCCTAATAAAGAGATGATAGTATCTAATTCAGACTTTATCAACTGATTGGATATAAAGCATTATTATAGAGGAATCAAATATACTTCTAAGGTTTTATTTGGGTGACTGAAAAAATGATGCCTTTACAAAAATCAAAGAAGAAATTTAATTGAGGTGGAAGTAAACTTCTACTCAAGCTGTAAAGAACGTACTTAGAACATACTACCCTCACCTATGATCAAAAGCTGGATCATGTCCAAAACCATAATTTCTATGAGCCCATCAGGGAGCTGAGCTTGCGAAACAACCGAGTAACCTAAATTGCAAAGAATTAGACAACCTTCCTCTCCCAAAGAATGGGTCATGAGTTGTTTCACCTTTGGTAGAGCATGAGAGAAAGAGATGGCTGCCATAGAAATGCATAAGAAAAAATTAACTAAAATTTTAACAGAATTTTGAAGACTAAGTATGGACTAGTTTGGAATCACTGGGGGCCTCAGATAAAAGGGGAGTTCACACTTGCTTGCAAATATATTTCCCTGGGGCTCCAGAGGATGTTCAGTGTTAAGACAGGGGACAAGGTAGAGACTCGAAAAAAAAGTCATTTTGGTGGAGTAAAGGTGAAGGAGGTGATCTGTGGATGCTGGGAGACAGGTGCAAAGCTCCTCCCATTTACTCAGACTCCCTTAAGCCTCCAACCAGTAGGGGAGGGGCAGAAAAACTTATTTCATAAATTACTAGAAGGACATTAGAAACAAGGCTACTCTGCTTCTTGGGGGAGGATCCTCTGGTCCCTAGGACACAGGCAGAGACCCACTGCTCCTGGGAAAGGGTAGAAGAGAAAACCCTTTACCTCTGAAAGACGTGCATAAAACTGCTTTGGGCCCTGTGATCCTACGCCAATAGCTAGGAGAGGTCTTTACTACTGGAGGAAGAATAGGGAACTACCACTAAAGACCGACACAAATACGGAGCAGATTCTGGCTGCCATAGAAAGAAGAGGCACCAGGCCTGCTTGTTACTGAGGCTGTATTGTGTGCTCAGTTGCTGAGTTGTGTCTAACTCTCTGCAACCCCATGGACTGTGGCCCACCAGGCTCCTCTGTCCATGGGATTCTCCAGGCAAGGATACTGGAGTGGGTTGCTGTGTCCTCCTCCAGGGGATCTTCCCAACCCAGGGATTGAACCCAGGTCTTCTGCTTGGCAGGTGGATTCTTTACCATTTTGCCACCCGAGAAGCACCCATATTATACTTGATCTTAGCCAGAATTGTATTAGGACAACTGAAAATCCCACCTTCTCCAACCATGACTTTATCACCAAGTAACAGATATATTTAATGGTCAGGAGCTCATTCTTATTTCTGCCTTAAACCACCACTATTTTCTGTGGACTTACACCTCAATGTCTTATTTTATCTACTTAAAGATAGGATTTATCCCCTTACTGGTTTTTCCTTCTTACCAGTTCCAGTTGCTTAAGTTATTTCTAATAGAACCTGCATCTGTCCTGCTGATTTTTAAAACACTTCTCTCTAATCTCAAGCTTATGTATATCATTTAAAAATATGATAGTCTAAAAGAATCTGGGAAAGGGAACTCATATAGAAAAAATGACACTTCACAATTTTTGAATGTATGAAAAAGTGAAATATAAAATCAGTGTAGGTTGAAGGGATCATACATTATATGGAATAAACAATTTGTTAGTGATTTGGAAAGAATTAAACTGTACATTTACCTTATATCAATGAAATAGAGTTAAAATTTAAATTAAATCCATAAAAATGTTGAAAGATGATAGAAGAGTCTCACCATTTACAGTACACCAGGATTTGTTAATTCATTCACCAGTTAATAAGCATTTAGATTATTTCCAATCTATCACAATTTAACTTATAAAAAAATGAAAGAATACAGATGAAAAATTTGGTGTCTCAGGATATAAAAATTTAAATGTTTTATATGTGAAGTATGAGAAATACTTTTAACTAAAGAGGACAAGCTAGGGAAGAATATAAGAATTACAGAAATTTGGCTGGATGGTATCACCGACTCAATGGACATGAGTTTGGGTAAACTCCAGGAGTTGGTGATGGACAGGGAGGCCTGGCGTGCTGCACTTCGTAGGGTTGCAAAGTCCAACATGACTGAGCGACTGAACTGAACTGAACTGAATGTTGTGAATGTAACAGGAATGCATGCAAATGGATATGATAAAGTGACTAGCATAAGCATATAATTCACAATATGGCAAAGATAAAGATAGTTTCTAAGCATGAGAAATGTTTCACCTCACTTAAAGATATAAAATTAAATCACTTTTGGTGAGATGCCATTTTTACCTAATAAAGATTTTATATATTTTAATGAACATTCACTATAATGTTCAATATTATGACTGGTTAGGGTGATTATGTTTAACATGTCTTTCACCCTCAGTGACAATGTAAATTGTTACATCATTTACTAAATCCATTTGGACAGTTATCTTAAAAATTACTGACTCAACCTATTTACTGTTGTTTTAGGATTTTTCCCTAAGGAAGGATTTTTTTTTTTTTTATGAAATTAGTTTTTATTTTGACCTCAAAATAAACACTTAACATTTTTCCAAAACTCAAGATGAATACTGAGAAACAAGGGTAGAAGATTATTTTTTCCTTCCCTGGGGAAACCAGTAAGGCAGACGTTCTAACGAGGCTTGCAAGGCTCTTTCATTGGACTAATCTAGACAGTTAAGACCCGGAATCAGAGATTCGGACAAAAACTATTAATATCAGCACTGGTAATTAAAAGAGAAAAAGGTAGGGATACAGAGAGAAGAGTTAGGAAATGACTTGGATATCCCAAAATAGATGAAATAGTTAAAATAAGTATAGTACAAAGTTATGATGGAAAAGTTATTTGGCCATTAAAAACCATGTCTTTGAACAGTATTTACTGATACCAGGAAAATCTTGGTCAAGTGGTAAAGTACAAAATAATATATATCAAATAATCCAAATTTAGTTGAAAATATTAATATGTTACACATTTAGACAGTCCCATACTAAAATGTTAACAGTGGTTATCTTTGAGTAGTGATATTTTCTCAGTTTCCTAAAATAGCTCTATATTTTTTTTATAATTAGTAAGGTGTTGTTTTTTTNTTTTTTTTTTTTTTTTTTTACTTAATAGCAAAGCCATCTTTCAGTCAGTGCTGCAGTTTGGAAAAGATACCAAATACATAATTTTGAGAACTTTACCAAAAACATCATGGATAGCAGTTAAGAGTTGCAGTTAAG